GTCACTGTCACAGTCACGCTCGGTTTTCGAGGAAGAGAGAGCCTGCTCGCAGTCTAATGTCTTTAGAATACGCAAATTGCGCCAAGACAAGGCCTAACAATAGTCTCCTTCGGAGCTGTCATTGAGGTCGTCACGCAACTCTTCTCCCCATCAACTCCACTATAAACCACTTACGTGGGAAAAGGCGTTGCGTGACGACGTTAATAACGGCTGGGAAGGAGACTAGCCTGATAAGAGCCAGAGTTTAGATGCTAAATGAATGGTTGTAACACCGTGACATAACTTAAGCCCTGACTGTTCTTCAACTGAGGTATTTCTGGTATTCTTACTTTAGAACTACGAATCAAAACGTAGACCAGTTAATAATTTAACAATGGACCTCCGGCTCAGTAGAATAAAAATACGCCAAACATGTGTGTTGTGATATTTTTTCATCTATTCATTTGTTCGTTCATTCGTTGCTTTGCAGGTTCGTTGGTTCGTTGGTTCGGTCGGTCGGTCGGTCGCTCGCCCGTTCGTCCGTCCGTCCGTCCGTTGGTCTGTTCGTTCGCTCGATATCTCGCTATCTCTCTCCCTCCCTCCCTCGACCGATCGCTCCGGTTCGTTCGTTCGTTCGTTCGTTCGTTCGTTGTTTGTTCTTTAATCATTATTTTTTTTTAACCACGTACCTTATTTTTTAGGTCTTCAACGGTCACTAACAAGGCCTCAAAATCATCACACGTGGGGCAATCTAAATACGATGTAAGAAGACCCAATTTGTAAACGTAGGTGACTTTGAAGGCAAAGACCATGAAAATACCGAGACAGCATACTAAAAACATGATAGGTTTTCATCATCCCTTTGTAAACTAAAAAAAAGGAATTTCGGAGCTGTAGATGCAATATACATCAAGCTTCGAGTGGCTGGTAACGAGATTAGTGAGATCGTCTAATTCTGGAGAGTCAGGCTAGAAACAGATGAAAATATTGCCTCCTAGATTGCCTATAGAACTTGCGTTTTAAGCTTCAAACAAGGCTTAATTATGAAGAAGTCGAATAAAGTTTCACTTACGACCACAAGTTTTTCTGTCTATCTGTAGCTTGTACGTTGGATGGCAAGTACATTGAAACGAACCAGGAGTATTGGTGCAGTTATGATGGCAACCTCCATTGTCCTAAAAACAGACGCCAGTCATAGTTAGAAAACCTGGGATTGTTACGTCTCTCTTTACCAGTGAAATACTCCAAGCAGTATAGGGTTAATGTACTTGAGGTCCAATATCTTAACCCCTTAACGTTTCTGCTTGCAGAACCTATCAATTTGCAAGAAATCCTCGAAATTGTGTCTACAGTCAACTCTCCGCTAACGGACACTCTCGTAAGTGGACAGCTCTACTTACGGACACTGTTTACAATTCCCCTTTTTACCTCCCAGTCAAACTCTGTATTTACACATTCCCGTGAGCGGACACTCTCTCGTAAGCGTGCGCGGACACTTTTGAAAATAAAAAATTAGATTTTTCTGTTGTTTACGCACTCTCGTAAGCGGATACCCCATTTANGGCCGGAGAAATTTGAAAACGCAGCTTTATTTCTATGGTTAGGCCTATCGTCCGCACTAATCTGTCACGAAAACGGAGCTTTTCGAAAACGCTCTTCAAACCGGAGGAATTAGAAAACACGGGCTTTACGTTTTCGTGTGGAAGGATAACATTTTGAAAACGGAGTTTTTCGAACACGATGACGCCACGATAATCATGTGATTTCCCTGATCGAGTTTTAATTCCCTCAAACACAAATCCAAAATGACCGCTGATCATGCCGTTTTGAATTTCTCCGGCGTAGCGGGAACGGGAAAACATTTGACACGTTTTCAGATTGAAAACGCTGATTTCAAATTTTTCTAACGTAGCGTGGACGGGGCCTTTACGGCCCATATTTGGTCTTATTGACCGGATTTCATTGCAAGTTAAGAGGTCTGTTGGGAACCTTGTACATCTCTTGCTGTGGGACTTACCTAAACAGGTGCAGTTACTAATGGCCGCGTATCCCTGGTAACAAGTGCAGTTGTAACCTCCTTCTGTGTTGGCACAGTCTTGGTTACAACACGCAGTGTTTAGCAGACATTCGTCGATATCTGATGGCAAAGGAATGAAGAGACGATTACTCATCTTTCAACGATCAGATCAGGAATTGGATCGGACTTAGAGCATCGTTTCTCAGATCACTAGGTGTCGTTGCGCATATAATTGTAAGGTGTAAGGTGTTCAATACGACATTGACCAGCCGAAAAATTTGCTTAGAAAACCAATCCAGTTTCGTTTCAATTTCCGATATTCACTTTTTTTTTGAAGTAGAGCTAGATCTGTTGTTACTGTTTTCTAGACCCTAACAATCAAAAGGCTTCTTGCCATTTGACGAAACCCACTTATAATACTTATAACTTGAAATAGAAGGGTTTTCAATTGACTGTCGAAAGTAATCAGGCGATTACTTTGGTTTTGGTTTCACTACGGTTTGAGATTGGCTGAGCAGCCTAATTGGTAAGGAATTGGTTTGGTTTTGGTTTTAAGACACTCAATTGAAAACAGCTCTAAGGCCAATGATAAACAAGAATAGCTGAGTCCTTTGCAAACCTCTGCATGTTGATCCATCCCGTAGCAGCTTGAATCCATGACGACAGGCACATGAATAGCTAATAAAGAAAGACAAAACCCGAAACGTTAAAGGCTGAGAGAATTGAAATAAATAGGAATTTGAACTGGCTCATCCCACAGAGAGGCTCTTCGTCCACTGTGTCCAGAATGAATTGGAATTTAAAGTGGTGGTTTCTATGTAGGGAGGAAACCGGCCGGAGAACCCGATAAAACCCCTCGGAAAAAAGCGAAAATCAGCAACAACTTAACCCACTAATGGAGGCGAGCGCTTTCACCACTGAACCATCCCTGCTCCCCAAGAAAGATTCTGGTGAAGTATATATGAAATAATTCATATT